GAGAATACTTAGGCAAAATTATAGAAGACACAACGGGAAGGATTCCGATAATTGGGGAAATCATAACTCTAAGCCTCCTTAGTCTTGTATTCAATCCTTATCCTTGTTAATTGATAGTTGTACTGCTTTCTAGTATTTGTTAGTTAATTACATAAAAATAAATATTATAATCTTTATAATTAGGAAATTGTTTGGACTTGTGTTTCTTAGCAATATTGAACAATTATAGCTTAGCCTTAGTTCTCTGTGGGATTCGACTCTGGACTCTTAGACCGGATTATATTTGCAGCGACCGCTTATCCTTTTGAGGATTAGAATTGGGCGTGACCAGTAAGTTTTGTCAAATACTTTAGAATGATTATACTCCTTTTGAACGTGTTAAACAAACTTAAATAATTGTTATTTGTAGGATTCATATTGTAGATTTATTGTACGAATAACAACGCTTGTTATTTTTATTTAAATGATTTTATATGTTAATCCTGCCCCCACGCCATAATTAACATAGGTAATCTACACATAATCAAGAAACAAGCTTAATTGAAGGCTGAGAGGTTTAAAGTTTTGGTTTGCTCCGGTGCAGAGGAGACTCTGCCAAATTTTTGATATGGAAAAATGAGGTAGGCTTGCTTAGTATTCTTAGACTCACTTAGCTCCAGTCATGGCCCTCGTCGGGTCGTGACATAAAGTTTGTTGGGTTTTCGCTCTTCAGTTTTCTATATTTTTTTTCTATTATTGTTTCAGTTGATAACAATATTAATTCATGTAATGTTAATAGGTGTATGTAACTTGTTTATTTTATATTCAATTGTTAGTGAGTAATGATTTTATATATATATATATATATANGCATTGTACAAGAAATGCATATTGATAGTAATAAACTTTCAATTGCATATACTATTGAATATGTACTACCATATGAAATTAGTTACTTAAAATAAATTAAAAAATGCAATATATCATACAAACCAAGTCATGAATAATGTTTGATATAATATAGGAGGACAAACTGAAACTAAACATTCTAGAATCACAAAGTTATGTAATAAAGTTGGAAAATAACTTAAAGAATGCACTATTATTTACTATTTTATGTGAAGTTATGATAATTTTTGTTAAACCTTAAGATATATGAAGTCTAATATATATCTCCAGATAAAGATATATTGATAATGGAGAAAACAAAGCTTAAAATTCATTTCGTTGCTCCTGTATTTCATCGAACTTTTTTCAGTTGGACGTTGTAGACATCAAAATTTTAACGGATCAGCCTAAATCCTAAATTCAAGATACTACAAGATGACTATTGATATTCTAGGAGTCTATTGTGGTTGCTTGAAGGCTACTCTACCAAAACCCTAGCTAGGAGGCTACTCTACCTCAACCCTAGGTCGCTCCTATAAAAAGGGTTACATATTCCCTTAAAGAATATCTCGAAAAGGGAGATCATCTGAGCAATTTCATAAACTCCCGAAATATGCACAAAGAGATCAAATATACGATCATGTCAAATATGTCTTGCTCAAAGTTTTAGCAACATTCAAGATCCAAAATGGAGTGTTGTTACATGCTTCTTGATCGTCAAATACATCAAGAAGATGCATATCATCCTACGTTCGAGAAATACGCCGCTAAGGCCCTCGAATTACGGATAACAAATCATAGGGAAGAATCAAGGGATAAATAGAGTTGTAACCTGCAATGTTTATCAATAAAATCCTTTTTTCTTTATAGTTGTTGGTGACTGCAGTTTTATTTTTCTGCATAAAATTTATTGCAAATAAATTGGTACGCCCAATGGAACTAGTTCTGCCCTTCATCTCTTACTCCTACAAATCGAATTCTACAAGTTTCAAAATTATATGTTGCGATAATTGAGTACTTCAAGTCTCGTCTTTAAGTTTCGGCAAGCCTACACCCTGACAAACCTTGAAGTACGTGGCATTTGTAGACATCAAAATTTTAACGGATCAGCCTAAATCCTAAATTCAAGATACTACAAGATGACTATTGATATTCTAGGAGTCTATTGGGATTGCTTGGAGGCTACTCTACCAAAACCCTTGATTGGAGGCTACTCTACCTCAACCCTAAGTCGCTCCTATAAAAAGGGTTACATATTTCCTTAAAGAATATCTCGAAAAGGGAGATCATCTGAGCAATTTCATAAACTCCCGAAATATGCACAAAGAGATCAAATATACGATCACGTCAAATATGTCTTGCTCAAAGTTTTAGCAACATTCAAGATCCAAATGGAGTGCTGTTACATGCTTCTTGATCATCACATACATCAAGAAGATGCATATCATCCTACGTTCGAGAAATACGCCGCTAAGGCCCTCGAATTACAGATAACAAATCAGAGGAAAGAATCAAGGGATAAACAAAGTTGTAACCTGCAATGTTTATCAATAAAATCCTTTTTTCTTTATAGTTATTTGTGACAGTTTTATTTTTCTGCATAAAATTTATTGCAAACAGACGTTATTCTGTTTCAATTATTACTCATTTTTAGGTCTAAAACTTTTAATTTCTTACCCACACATTAAAAACATATTTGTTTGTTTATACAAAAGAAATTATATTATACAAAAGTTATCGCTAGAAAATTATTCAACTCAAATTCTTATTAATCCAATCTATTAGAAAGCACATGAGTCATCATATGTCTATACACAAGTATACTTGCACATATCAAAACTATTTAGTATGTTCAAATCAATCATCACAAATAACATTGAGATGTAATTTAGTTTTTGAAAGTAATTTTTTATTATGAGTAGTTATTAATGGAATTTTTTTGAGTTCCAAATTACCATATACATATTAAAAGATCGTCATACCTACCAAATCAAATGCTGTATCCTTATTTTGTTTAAAGAAATAATTCATTTTTGAAGGGTTAAAAGTCGGTCACATAAGACACATCTTTGGGAAAAAAAGGAACTAATGTCCTAATCATAATAATTTACCCGTATTTTTTAAATCCTACATAAATTGATAGACTACTTTGGTATAAGTAATAGTAGAAAATAGAATTTTATTTAAAGACTACCTCTAATTTTGAAGCCGAAACAAGATAGGTGGCTAATTATATGTTCTACACGTTTAAACTTACTATAATTATTTATTCTTTTATTTATTCTTTCATAAGTTTAAAAAAAAGAGTTAGAATGGCATTGAAATATTACGTTATGTTGTGGCTTAAAAAATTGTACTTCTTGTTTTCCAATGATAGGTAACTTTAAGAAGTTCTATTATTAATTGGTAACAAACTCCTATATTTTATGCACTATAACTTGGTTCACGTTATTTTACGGTTTTAAAATTTTCTAGTATTAGTTGGTTTTAAACTCCTATATTTTAGGCATTAAATTTTACAATTTTATCCTATATTCTATTGTTTTTTTTTTTTGAAGAAATAATTCAATTTTGAAGGGTATAAAAATCGGTTAATATTTCAAGGATATTTTTTTCGTGCAACATTTAGCGTGAAACATTCGTGCTTTTATAATAATAGTTTCTATTTACGTGTATTGCACGTTAATAATAACACGCGATGAATATGGTAATGAAAATCTATTGGAATGGCACAAGATTGATAAATCTCTAATCCTTTTCTATTTTGATTTTTTTATGAATTATTGAATGAGTATACACCTTGAATTTATCAGTAAAGCTAAAAGGCTCAAGATGTTCAACTCTTTGATCCTTATATACAATCCTAAATGAAAACAATGTTCAATACAAAGAAGAAAAAAATAATAGAGAACTAATAATAATTTTGGAGAAGTTTGCCGAATTTTGTTACTTTTTTCTAAAACAACACAACTTAAAACTAAAACTCCTTCAAATTTTTATGATGAAGAATGTGGAATAGTGTCTTCCTCTCCTCCTTTCTCTAAATAGATTCGTGCAATACGTTTATATGCATTGAATCGTAAATATAGTTCTAATAGAAAAATAAAAGGAGATCAAGTTACCATGTAACTGGAAACAAATTTTTTTTTTTTTTGAAACTTAAGTTCAATTATGAAAAGCAAAGGAGATTTAGTGGAATAAGGGAATGTGTTAGAGTTCATATGATGGAAGGACATATTTTATCTGATTGCGATTGATTTTGACTTATTTTTAATCAATAAAAATAAAGGACTGAAAAATAACCTAACAAACCTAGTTGTCCCTATATTAACATGTGAATAATTAACATGAAAAAAAATCCCGCCTAATACATAGTTTCAAGCTATATGCCAACCTTGAAAAAATAACAATTTTAGAGAAGTTTGCTAGATTTTGTTACTTTAATCAATTAGCTAAATTTATTTGTTAATAAGACATAATCCGGGATCATACTCAGGTAAAATATGTATCCGTCTCCTCGTCTAGCATACATCTTTTTAATTGTAGGCATCTCATATCCTCATCTAGTAAAAAATATATCCAGCTAGCGGTTGCACTTCTTTTAGATGGATTGAAAATCCGTGATATGGTGTGGTGGTTTAAATATTATAATTATAAACATTAAATTGCTTTATTAAAGAAATACTTTGACTTCCGACCATTCAAGCCATACAATTTTATCCTCTGATGCAAACTCAGAAAATTAATGACATAAAAACATGAGGGAATAAGTCAGTGCAATAAAATTTACTCACACAAAATATTTGTGGATACTCATCATAGTTAGCAACCCCAGAAAAGACAAAATTCATGTTTTGGCAATATAATCTCTGGCACTCCTTCACCATCATGTATAAATATTTGCCATGCATATTGAATTTTTTTGATGAAATCTCTTCACATAAATTATTAGTGATCTTCTCCAATTCATTATGGCAATGATCCTGCTCTAAAGAACTAAGTTTGAAATCGAAGTTAAAGTACCCAAACTATTTATTAATTACATAATAATACTAATAATTCCTAAAATAATTCATTCCTACAAAAGCGACTCCTAATTACAAAAAAAAAAAAGTACATTGAAAGAAGTGCAATGCAAGAAAGAAAACTCTTGTCTATAGTTGATTGTAAGGCTTTTCGTCATCTTGTGCATCTGCTAAACTTCCTCCACTCTTCTCGTAATTAAGCTTCCTTTATGACGCAATTGCAAACATCTTCCAACCATTTAATCTTTCAATCAAAGTCTTCCTAGCCAACATTCAAGTGGTTATTATCTAATCATTCACGAGCATCTCTTCAGTGATTGATAGCTCATGGTCTTGCAACGCAACAATCAAGCTTTCATTAATTGACTACCACATACTCACCAATTCACATTGGTTTAGTATCAACCAATTACCGAATTAATCTTTTTATAAAGCCACATTAAGGTAGCCGACAACTTTTAAAGTTTAAAATTACACGTATGTGGTAGCTTCCCAAAAGGATTCAAACATGTGAGGAAATTTCAATCCCAAAATTTCCCTAACTCTCTCATACCACGACGTTTCGCACTACAACGTTTCACGCCAGAAAGTCCATCGCTTCCAAGAGAATGAATAAACGAAGCGGATTCAATTACAATGTCACTCCATTGTCTCTATTACCTTCTTAACAAGCAACTCTCAGTATCCAATTTCTGCTAATTCGCATATGTCTCAAACTTGAGTACACGTTGATGATTCCAAATCCCTTACTGTACAATGGCGTAACGTTGCATACCGAGACGTTTCACTCCAAAAAATAAAGCGCTTGGTGCTCTGTTCTATCAATCAGATGATGGCCTTGGTGCTTTTTCTATCAATCCTGTTGGCAAATAGTTCAGAAGAATGTTAATGGGTTTGTAGTGGCTTTCTTTGACGGAGCAGCTATCTCTAGGCTTATCTCGCACACATGCTTGGTGATGATACCAACCTCTAATCCCTTATGATTTTTTTTTTTTAAAATTTCTTGGTTTATATAAATGATGATAATTGAAATTCATTAATTAACCCTAAACCAACTCATGTTTGCACCTTTTGCAAAATTATTGCTTTTGTCTACTTCACTTATATTGGTTATCCTCATCTTTGTGTTAAAGTCGTCGGAGCGACAAGCTGTATGGAGCATGGGGATTCTTTGGGTAAATTCAAAAATAGTCTGATTTACAAGTGTTAATTTAAAAATAGCCACAGTTTCAAAAGTAATCGAAGTTTAGCCACTTTTAATGTAAAGATAAATCTGAACGAAAACGTTCAAAATCCGGAAAATATTCCAGCATAATATACTGGAGGTCCGGTATAATATACCGGTCCACCATAATATGCTGGAAGTTCATACACAGTTGATCTAATCTCCAGTATATTATGCTGGAACTTTTCGCGTGTTGGAGTTCCGGCATAATATGCCGGAAGTTCTTACACAGGTGCACCAATCTCCAGTATATTATGCTGGACCGGTCCGTGTTGCAGAAAAATAGTGGCTATTTTTCAATGACTTTGCAAATGCTGACTATTTTTGAATTAGCAGTCCGAAAACTGGCTAGCCCGTGCTATTTTTACATTCTCTTACTTCGTGTCCCTTTTCTTTTGGCCTTCACATTGTTAGTGTGGGATTTATGTTTTTAAAAAAAAGTGTGAACACAAAACTACTTAGAATAGCATTTGCAATTGGTATTTGCAGCATTATACATTCTATAACTATATATATTGAAAGTACGCTTGGTAAATAGTAATGACATAATTTTCAGTTTGTATGCATTGCCATGTTCAACCGAGATTGAAAATGTGTATGGTCAGTCAATATTGCAAAATTTAACACCTGTGTGCTTCTCTGTTCATTGTTTTCAATTATATTGGAGAGGTTAAGAACTTGAATCTTGATATTTGCAGGCTATTTGCTCTATATGTGCCATAGTGACCAATTGCCAGTGTTGATCAGTTTATTGTGTGTCATTGCTTCATACTGATACTCATATGTGCAATGGATATTGGACTGTTAAAATGGTTGTACTTCCTATTTTAAATGGTTTATGTCTCCGTCCAAATAATAGGGAAGAAAGCATGTTTAGAAAAAAGGTGAGCAACTATATTTTGATGGATGTAGTCATTCATGGGTTTAAAGTGGGTGGTGTTCCTGGAGGAAAATTGATGAATAAGATGGAATAGTTCATCACATATCATCAAAAAAGCCATCTTTCTATTGTTTAAGATGAACTTATTATTTTCTTTTTGCAGGACACGAGGTTTACAACTTATGATTGCCGAATCGAGATTCGAGATTTTTCTGCGGCTTCCCTTGGTTGGATATTGTATATTCCTGCTTGATCCTAACTTTAATTTCTTTCTCTCAATAGCCTGCTGCAACACTTTGGAAGAACAAGGAAGGTGAGAGGGCTCTCTAGCACTTCTATTTAAGTGAAGCCTATATCTAAGCACTTCGATGAAAACTTCAGCATTTCTTTCCCTCTTTCTCTGTAAAAATAAACTTCAATAGCATTTCTTTCGCTCTCTCTGTTTGTCATTCATCTTCAATTTTGCTTTAGCTAAGTACGATTACATAAATGTATATATGAAATATGTGAATTGATCAATTTTCAGATAATTCAGAGGCTTTCTCAGTTAGGTTGTTAGGGATATCATGAAAGTTTTGTTGGGGAACTTTTGTTTTGGCTGAAGATTGAAGAGGGAGGTTTTGGAAAAAGTAATAGCACACAAGCTGTGGAAGAATGGTACAGGCAGATGCCGATATTCGCCCATTCATATATCACTGCTTCAATTGTCACCACCATCGGTTGTTCTCTTGAGTTATGCTACATATTAAGGAAAAGCATTAGATTATCAAGATTGAACCTTTATATAAAGCACGGACAATAAATGCTGACATGACACCTCTCTTTGCTTAGGAATCATATTTATCCTTTTTGTCATTTTTTTTTGCTTATTTTCCACAAATAAAAAACTGAAAAGTCGCTTCTTATAATCCTGCTCAAAACACCTCCATCTTAAACGCCTAACGGATATCTCTTTTAGCACCGGTTACACAATACTGACTCGCTCCATACAAATGTTAAACAATCAATCTCCATGGGTCGGGTGTCGAAAACTGCACAATTTCCTGCTCTATCAGCTATCAAATTGCTCTATCAGGCAAGTCTCCAATTCTCTTATTCTTCTCGCGCTTTTTGTTTTTGTTGAGTTGATTCATGCGTTTGTTTCTTTCAACATTGATAATTCAATTTTCTGTTAGCATTGTCTCTGAAATAATGAATTTCAAAGCATTTTAGAACTGCAAAACTGATTTTTTGTACTAATATTGAGTGAGGACCGAGGATGAATGTGTTGGACTATGGTGTCTAAAATCTAAAGATTCTTAAGGTTTCTTCACTTAGTTATACTCTGATGAATTCTTGTGTTGGTTTTATGAAAATCGAAAATTTAAATGCTAAACAAATTGTTCGAACCAAAACCTTCTATCCTTGATTCGTTTTAGGACTTCATTCGCCAGACTTTGAGAACGTCATCAAAGCATCGATAACTGTTGTAGTATTAGTTTTATCACCTTCTCTTGGGGGTCTCTTGCTTATGCTTATTGTATGAGGAAGACTATTGTGGTTGAGAAAAACGTATTATCCATCGGTGAGGCTAAGGTACCATAAAGTTATTATTGCAAGCTGCCAAATATTATTGGCTTGAATTTTATTTGAACTTGCTCTTTTTTACTTCCTAATTCATTGAGCCCGGGTTGAGTCGGTTGACCTATAATTTTTCAAATTCTTACATTCTGCTTTCAAAAAGAATACTAGACAGATCAAGTTGTGATTTTCTGTGAAAATTCTTTCTCTTTTCTTTTAATTTTGGTCTGGGCAGATGTTGTGACTCTTGCTGTTTATTGGGGAAGCGCTATAATAGTGCCGGTCTGATCCTGATATAAGTTTACAATAGTTGTATGTTTCAATTAGGTCTGCTCAAGGTTTATTTGATCGAAGTTGTAGTAGTTGTTGTAGTTACATGGAGGAACGTGTCAGAGCGCAAAGCACCTGAAATCACTCTTGCTAAAATAGCGCAAAAGCAACATAGTATTCGGGATAGAACCATGAGAAATTTGAGTTAGTGATTTTTTCAGTTGAAGATAGTAGCAGAAGATGAGCGAGAGTTTCTTTTAAGATTTTCATTTGTTATCATGGAGGTTCCTTTGATGGATGGAAGAAGCAGTCTGATCTGAATACTGTCCAAAGGTAAGTATCTGTTAACCTTACCTGTTCATATCATGAATGGAGTGTCACATGCATAGCATTTCATGTGGCAACTATCTTGAGCAGATGATATATTTTTGAGTTTAACATTCTTTTAGCAGCATGATGCTCACAGTTACTTTATAAATCGTTCATATTGTAAATGGTTATGTTCAAGTTGCTGGATTCTTATGACATCTTAAGTGAATCTGTATCTTGTAGTTTACTTTTCTGCTTTCATTTGCTTATCTAATGGGGATATGGAGATGTTATACTTTGCATTGTAAGTTGTTTTTCAAACTACATTCTTTAGGCACCTCCCTGTTGCAGCTTTAGAGAAGGAACTGTTAATGATAATAAAAGCAAGATTGTGAAAAATATAGATCCTCATGGAAGATATGTTAGAAATAGTTACACATTGAATTTCAAGACATTGATAATAGCCGCTTGGTAGATCAGTTACCCTTTGGCATAGGCTATTCATCAAATATTTTATCTACTGGACCGTATAGTTCTTCCTGCCTATCGATAATTCAATGCAGATACTTTAGTTTCAGAGTTCAAAATATTAACATGAGATTGATACAATGAAGCTCACTATGAGACTCAGTATTTGAGTTGTTGGTAATTTAATTTATCAAGCTTATGACAAAACTATTTATTTATCAATTCGATGAGGTTGTGGTTGACTTGCTATTGCACTGAGAAGAAAACAGAGAGGAGCTCAGAAGCACAACATGAGAAGGAGAAGATTGAACTGCCTGCTGAAGAAAAGCAGAATGTTGAATTGCCACCTGAAGATTGATCATTTTACAGGGTGATGAGTTTATGACAACGTCACTCACCCAATTCACAAAGAACCTGAACGTGAGTTTCTTACAACACAAGTTAGTTGTATAACAGGGAAAAAAAACTGGAGGACACAACCCAGAGACTATTCAAGCCTGAGGATCATTTTTTAATTCTTGATTATTCAATCTTAACTTCTCTTTCTTTTTTGTTTGTCTAATCTTCTGAACAATCACTTTTGTAAGATCTTTTCTTTTCTCTTTATCTTTGTTTATTATGAATAATTCCTACCTCATTGTTTTTCTTTCCTCATTTATTTTCTTTGGTTAGTTCAACATTATGTATGTATATATGTATGTATCTGTGTGTGTATATGCTACTTGGCTTGATTTTTCTATGAAAGTTGGAGCTAGGTTTAATGGTTAGATGTAGTTTTCACAATTATGTAGGTTGTTCCTTTGTCTTGTGAGTGGAAGGGATAAGACCTGAATTTAAAGTCCATATTGCATTTTGAGGCTGTTCCTTTGGTAATTTTGTTTATGAGTTATCCTCAGGGACCATGAGTTTATAAATTGCATTTCTCTATTGTAGGTTGCTTATTAGATTATCTACAAAAATATGTTAAGCAAGAAGTGTTCTGTAACGATCCGATCGGTCGTTTTGAATATTTGTACTTTGCTCGATAGTTTGAGGGCATGAGTAGCTCAGTATGATGTATTATGACTTGTGTGAATCGTCGGTTTTGGTTTTCAAGTTAATCGGAATCGATTTGTAAGAATGAATTTCACGATTGAAGCTTTACGTTGGAAGAGTTAACCAAGTTTGACTTTTGTGAATTTGACCCCGGAACGAAGTTTTGAGTGTTTCGTTAGGTCCGGATGGTGATTTTGGACTTAGGCGTATGCCCAGATTTGCATTTGGATATTTCTAGAAGGATTCGACGCTAATTGGCGTAAGTTGGAAATTTGAAGGCTTGGAAAGTTCATGAGTTTGACTGGGAGTTGACTTTGATGGTGTCAGATTCGGATTAGAATTTCGAGAAATGGAATAGCTTCGTTATGTCATTTGGGACTTGTATGCAAAATTTGGGTTCATTCCGGGTTGATTTGATATGTTTCGGTGCGAGTTTTGAAAGTTGAAAGTTCAAAGTTTATTTAAGTTCGAATTGATGTGCGATTCGTCGTTTTGATGTTGTTATGTGTGATTTGAAGCCTCGAGTAGGTCTGTATTATGCTACGGGACTTATTGGTTTATTCGGACAAGGTCCCGAATGGCTCGGATAAGTTTCGAACGGGGTTCGGATCGTTTGGAGCCTTGTTGATGTTGCTGAAATATTTGGCTACTGGTGTCTTCGCACCTGCGCATAAGGGACCGCAGGTGCGTGCTCGCTAGGGGTGGGCATAAAATTCGAAAAACCGAATTCCGAACCTGAGGATTTTGTGCTCGCTAGGAGTCGGATTTGAATAAAACTTGTATGGTTGGACTCGTAATTTAATGGATTGTCGGATTTTGTGAGTTTTGTGGGGTTCCGAGGTGCGGGCCCGGGTTGTACTTTTGAGTTGATTTTGGGCTTTTGATTATAGATTCGACCTTTATCTATTGGGTTTGGTTCCTTTGGCATTATTTGATGTATTTGAGTTGCTTTTGGCTAGTTTTATGCCGTTTAGAGGTCGGTACGCGCGAGATGGCATTTTTGGAGCATCACTTGGCTTGCTCTGTATTGGATTTGGCTTGTTCGAGATAAGTAACACTTCTAACTTGATGTTGTGGGTATGAAACCCTGAATTACGTATTATGTGATTAATGTTGAGGTGACGCGCATGCTAGGTGATGGGCGCGTGGGCGTGCACCGTGTGAATTATCATTTAGCCTATTCCATGGAACTATGTAGCTATCTTATATGAACATTTTTACTATACTCTATATGTTAGAGCACTTGAGCTGTAATTTATGCCAAAATAATGTTTAGGCTTTGTTGTTGAGTTATTTGCTTAATAGAAGTTATTTACTTAGTTGCATTTATCATTTAATATCATATCTCAGTCTCCGTTATCGTATATTGTCACATCTCGTATTACTGATTAGGGCTGCTTAGCGTGAGTGTTGTGAGCCCGAGAGACTGGAGAGATTGATGACTGAGTGAGGCCGAGGGCTTGTTGTGAGTGATATTTATGGGACCGGGTTGCACACCGCAACATGCTTTATTGATTCATGTCAGGATTTGGCTTATTATAGCGCTTGGGCTGGATCGGCCCTTTCGGAGTCTGCACATCCATAGTGGGCACAATTGCTAGCAATTATTTGCATTTGGGCTGGATCTGCCCTGATTCATTTGCATTGGGCTGGATTTGCCTTGGTTTATTTGCATTTAGGTTCATTTGCATTGGGTTGGATCTTCCCTGGTTTATTTGCATCTTTAGGCTGGATCTGCCCTGATTCATTTGCATTGGGTTGGATCTTCCCTGGTTTATTTGCATCTTTAGGCTGGATCTGCCCTGATTTATTTGCATCTTTGGGCTGGATCTGCCTTGGTTTATTTGCATTTGGGCTGGATCTACCCTGTACAATACTGAGTGACTGAGTGTGCTGAGTATTGAGCATGATGAGTGAAAATACGAGACAGTAAAATTGAGTACTCTGAGAGTGTGAGTACATGAGTTCATTGTAACACCCCATAAATTCGACTTAGGTATGAATGTGTTAAATGAGTAGTATATTATATTTTGGACATGTGAAGTTCTATCGGTATGTGTATGGGTGGAAATAGTTATTTTAGAATCAAGACGGAGAGTGAGGTGTATAAGATTCGATAAAATCTACTAAGTTTTTAAAAGGTCTATCTTGCAGCAGAATGTAGTAAAAATGTATAAGGAATTTGGAAAAACTCAAAACGTAAAAGTTGTAGCCCTTTGGAATAACTTTCCAACAATATATTGCGGGGCCCTAACTGATCTTTGTGCAAAATGTTATGTGCGTTTTACTGAGCAATGCGCAGTATGCGGGCCCAAGTGCGCGCCCGGATGGTCCCGTGCGCGGCCGCACACTTGTGGCAGTGCTACTGCCTTCTACGTGTTAGGTGCACGGTTGGGCTTTGAGGTGCGTGGGAGCGCACCTGAGGGGTCAGTTTTAAAGCCCTACTTCGTCCCCCATACCCCAAAACACAAAAACTTGCTCTAGAAAGGGAAGCTCTTAAGAACCTAACCTCCCCAGGGTCCCTCCACCATCCAAGGTAAGTTCTAATGGTGATTCTAAGTTAATTTCAATTCTTCAACACCTTATTAACATGTATAAATCCTTCAAATCATTAGATATTGGATTGGGAGATCATTGTTTAGAAAAGAAACTCTAGAACTCGAATTCAAGAGGATTGAACTTCAAAAAGGTAATGTGTGATAAGTAGGGATTTTGACTACTTATTTGCACTCTTTTACTTTAGTTTTAGCTCAAAAATGCTTAAAGTTATTCCCGAAAACTGATAAAATGTGCTTACTTGCAGGAGCATTGAAAAAAGAGCCAAAACGATGAAATTCAACTCAAGGAGTATTTTTGGACAAGGACTAAAACCAAGCAAAAAGAGCAAAGTGCAGACCGCACAATATTGAGTGCGGTTGCAGACTATGAAGGACCTCTGTTATAATTCCTTTGCAAAGTGCAGACGCCGCAAAAGATGAGGTTCATAGAGATGGAGTTCTGAGTCCATGAAGAAGTGTGGACCGCACTATTATTGTGCGGCCGCAGAATTCAAGAGTGCGGCTACACTCAGAAATGTGTGGTCCACAGAAGTCCCTTATGTCAGGCTCAAATTCAAGAGTGCGTCCGCACTCAGAAATGTGCGATCCGCAGAATTTGAAGACGTGTGGCTGTAACCCAGAATTGTGCGGCCGCAGAAGTCCATCCTGTCAAGCCCAACTTCAAAGTGCGGACCGCACATAGAATTGTGCGGCCGCAGAACCTCCGCATGGGTAATTTTGTCTGATAATTTCAACTGTGTATAAATAGTTCTTTTCCCAATTAGTGGTGTGAATTTGGACGACAATAATTTTTGGCGTCGTTGCTGCGGAGCTAAAAACGGATTTAGCTATATATTTGGTTTTGTGTGTGACTTGTCTTCTTTTCCTTCCGAGTTACTAACGTTTTTGTGAATCGATTATAGGTACAAAAATGGCTCTCAATAATGATCCTCTCGGAAACTTGCCTTTGGGGGAGGAAGTGGACGATGACCAAGATGATGAGGTTCCTCTTGAACCTTAAGCAAATAGGCGAGGCTGACCGCCTCAAAACAATATTCCCGTCCCTCCCCTACTTCCACCAAGAGCATCTTCACACCGGGTGTTGCCAAATGAAGGATACGCAAGTGCCATAGTCCTGCCCCGCATTAGGGTGGGAAACTTCCAAATCACCAATGTTATGCTCACATTGCTAGAGCAATGGGGATTCTTCACCGGGGCTCTGAGTCAAAATGCATACAAACACTTGAACGGGTTTGTGGACACTTGCTGGGGGAGTAAACAGACCAACATCTCCTAGGATGCTCTAAGGTTGAGGTTATTTCCCTTCTCTCTACGGGGGAAAGTTTTGGATTGGTTAGAAAGATTGCCAAACCATTCTATCCATACATGGGATTAATTGGCGGAAAAATTCATTGCCAAGTTCTTTTCTCTCGCGTATATGGCTACTCTTCGAGACAAGATTCTAGCATTAAAGCAAGAACCCAATGAGCCTTTGCACGAGATTTGGGAGAGGTACCGTACTATGGTGAAAGAGTGCCCGAATAATGACATGACTGAGGCTATGATTCAACAAACCTTCTACAGGGAATCAATACTACCAATCAATGCGTGGTCAACCAACTTGCCGATGGGAATTTCATGACAATACCATATGCCGAAGCTTGTGAGATTATAGATGAAATGGCGGATACTTCATCGGCATGGCAAAGTAGAGCTAATGTTCCTCAAGGTGATCCAAATATGATTCACCTACATAAAGAATTGCATGATCATGGGCAAACAATTGCCGAGTTGACCACAACAATGAATCAATTAGCCAAAGCTCAACTTCAACAAGTTCAAGGTCCTAAGCAAGTAAATGCAATGGAAGGTGTCAACATGATGGTGAACAAGCGAAGGCAAAAGGGTCAACAAGTGCAAAACTATGTGGAAGAATTTATGCAAGATGATAGTGGGTTTGACCAAGACGAATCATACAATGAGCAAGAGGAAGAAGTGCAATATGTGAACAACTACCAAGGGCAAAGAAACAACTCTCAAGGTCTGAATCAACAACAATGGCGATCTCAAGGAAATTAAGGA